ACGCTTCGGCCTTCTTCAGGTGGTTGGAATTTCGAACTGAACCCTTTATTTCGCTCACTGGGGTAGACTGTTCTAGTTCCACGTGCCATGTTTTGATGGATGTCAGTTATCTCCTGTTAATTTCCCTCTGAAAGTTCTCCACTGCCTTAACCGGGTATTGAACTCACACTCTTTGTGTCCTGTCACTGGATCTAACCAACGTCTTTATCCACTGTACCATGTGTCCTTGATAAATATGGCGACAAAGATGGGGACAATAGTCCGAATAATGTAAATAATGTACATAATACCTCATCTCAGAAATATAGACAAATACACTTGTATTTGTAGACTTTTCTTTGATCGGGAAATTTTCTGATAGACGCATTTCAGAGATCCCTGGTAGCCCATGCCTTAAATAAAATATGGAAAACTGTTCATCACGAAGAGCTTTATCTATGTAAAATATTTGTGGTCTTATTTTTTTTTGTTTTTTTTTCGGGGGAGGGGAGAATAATCAGTGGAAAATGTCATGAATCCATGTCTGAACTTAGGTTTCTAGTTAGTATCCGGAAGGAAATATCTATACAACAGAAATCAAAGAAACTAATAATAATAATAATAATAATAATAATAATAATAATAGCAACAACAACAAAAACGACAACTAAAATTATCCCTGTATGTTCACAGGTTTCCAATTTGAATTTTGTGATTAAACTTAACTCTTATGTTAATGATTTAATTACGGAGTTATTTTATATATGGGGTAGGGTCAGTTAGATTGTGTTTTGGTTGGTATACTTACCCTTTACCCTTGTTTTTTCTCGTATTTACAAATAGAAATCATTTCGATATGAGGAATTTTTAATGCATAGGACTGATCTGATAAATCGTGGTGACATCAAATCATGGTGTCACGGTTAGACAATTTTTTTTTTCTCTGAGGAGTGAGTTCGATATTAACGTCATTACACCTAAGCTACGTTTAAGTAAATCATCACATCTCTTCGTTCGAGGCAGTGAGAGTACTGATATGTTGATTTTCTCTGATGTGACCTCAATTTATCCAATCAGAGATTTCTTTCGGGATTTGAATTCGTACGAGACCTGGCAGAATTCGAACTGTATTCAAAATAATAATTTTTTTATCCATTGTGTTCAATGGCAATTCACAGATAATAAAGAAAAGGAATTTGTGAAGAGTCATATTTGCGATGTTCTGAAGGAATAATGCTTTAAAATAATTTAAAAAAACAAACTTGGGTGCTAAATAAACGCCCACCCACATCGTCTTAATTTTTGAGATTATTCATAGCTTCTTAATAACTATTAATAATTGTTAGTTATTGATAATTATTAATACTTAATATTTATTAATAATTATTTAATGAGAGATGGAATGAAGAATGCGAAAAATATAAAATCTAACACTCTAAGTTAAATAAGAGGTTTAATTTGAAATTTTCTGAAGGTGAATTGGATGAAGAGAAATCGGAAGTAGACTGCAGAGCACAACGTACGGAATGTTATCATTTTCAATCTTGTTTTTAATTATTTCCTAACCATTTCATTTATTGAAACTTTAGTATGGCTAATCCTAACCTCCAGAAGAGAGACTTAATGTGCCTTCCTGGTCTATAATTCTTCTACTGACATGAAGTTGAAAGGTCATTTCGAATCAATTGCTAGGTCTTCTCATAGTAAAGTTGTTTGTATCTGTGACGTTAGATATTTTTTTTCTTTTGATCGAATCACGTCCCCTCTTGTATGAGGTTTAACATCCAGAGACAAATTTACTAGAGTAGATATAAAATAACTCGAAACATATAGAGTACAAAATCAATCGGGACTGGGATTAATTTTTCATCATTGTTTTTCTTCCATCCAACTGAATAAATTGTTACAGAATATTAGCTATATGGAGTTTATAATAAGACTTTTGAGTTATTTGTTAAAGAAAGTTTAACGTGTTAACATAGATTATAAAAATCATTAATCGTTTATCTATTTCTACATCCGAGGGGGAAATGATATCTGTCGAACTTTCGATAACACTTAAGTTTTTTTAAAAATAATTTCACCACAAGCAAGGCGGGAATGCCACTAGTAAGAATGGGCTTAGTGGTAGGGCAAGTGGAAGAAAAAGCTGGGTATGTCGAGGATCGGGAAAGGAAAAAAGATGAACGAGATAAAAAAAACTTGAAGTGAAAAATACTGATCAGAATTAAATACAGAATAACACAGGAGTACAGATCATATATTGAGTACAATTTCAAAATAAAATTAATAAGATTAATGTATTGCTACCATATATCTGCTAAAGCTACCCAATTCTCAGGTTCCAGCCTCGAGAGAGTTCAAAAGCGCTTACGCAGAATTTTAGATAATATATTATTTCCCATCCTAGAACGATGTTCTTACAGATTAAAATTTGCTAGCTTCTTCCTAGGCTATGAATTATTTTCATCGTAAGTGTTCGGACGTGTCTCACTCCTTAGATTCTGAAATCCTGAACTTATGGAACTTCCGACTTTCACATCTAAGACACGCTATGCCACATACTCAGATTTGCATCTTCGTATTGTATTAGTAAAGAAAAAGTTCCGCTCAGAGAATTTCCCCACCAAGAATTGTCACTGTGTGTAACAGGATCCCGAGCGAATAATTCCTCGATCACAATATGCATCTCTTGAAGTCTTATGTTACCCATCCAAATAATAATATTTTATAATATGATTTCCTCTTTTAACGCCTATACACCTTAATTCCGTAACCATCCCTTGCATGGATCTTGGGGTTGTATTGTATATAAAAAAAAGATATATATCGTGGAATTTCGATTTTGGTCGGGTTGGTAATAATATAAGAGGTTTGGAACTCTAAACCAAACAAAAAGTGTAAATGGCAAAAATTTTTATCGTCAACAATGATGATAAAACCAGAAAGGTTAGGTCGATCAAAAGACTATCTCGATAAAGCTGTCGATGCCAGCATCGTCGGCTTCCCATCCTGACCCGTTCGCAAGCAATGATCGCTGATTAACGAAATCGCCTGATGAAAAATGGACCCCGGCAATGCCCAAGCAGGTTCACACGATCGGATATTGAGTTTGATGATTGCTTCTGTCACCCGGACCCTTTGATCTGTATCGACCTCAGAAGTGTTAACACTTGCTTCATATACCTTTTTTTTCTTGTTTTTCAAGGTAGGTTTTAATGTTAAAATGCACTTACACGATCTACTGATCTGCGAAAGAAAGAGACTGTAGAAAGAGGAAAAGGACAAAAAAAAAAGAATGAGTGTCGTTGTGTGGGAAAGGAGACGCTGTTAAGCGGTGTGATAAAAACGGGTGAGGAATGTGATAAGTAATAAAAATTAATAGGAAAAAAGCAAAACGCGATGACACAAAGTAAAAAAGGATCAAATATTTCTGACATCAGTCACACACTCTGAGCTAACTCTCGTTTCGTTCACGATCTAACGAATTCACCATTTTTATTTATTTGGTTCGATCTTCATTGGTTTTCGTTTGTTCCTTCTTTCTTTCTTTTTTTCTTCCTTTCTTTCTTTTAAATTCTCATTCCTTCATTATTTACTTCCTTACATTGTTTAATACTTCTTATCATTCATTAGACTTTCTTTCATTCTTTCTTTCATTTAAATTCCTTTTTTTTCATTCCTTTCTTCAATCAATTTTTTGATTTCTTTCTGTCTTTCTTTCTTTCTTTCTTTCTTTCTTTCTTTCTTTCTTTCTTTCTTTCTTCCTTTGATCAATTTTTATGTCTTTGTTTCTTTTGAATTCCCCTTTCATTTATTCCTTTCTTCAATCCATTTTTCTTTCTTTCTTTCTTACTTTCTTTTAACTTTCTTTCTTTCTTTCTCTCTTTTTTCTTTCTTTCTTTCTTTTTTTGATCACTTTTATTTCTTTGTGTATTTCTTTTAAATTCCCCTTTCATCAATTCCTTTCTTCAATCAATTTTTCTTTCTTTCTTACTGTTTTTCTTTCTTTCTTTTTCTCTTTCTTTTTTCTTTCTTTCAATCCTTTCCTTAATCATGCTTTCTTTCTTTTTCATTCCTTTCTTTAATCATTTCTTTTTCTGTCTTTGTTTCTTTTAAATTCCCCTTTCATTAATTCCTTTCTTCAATCAATTTTTCTTTCTTATTTTCTTTTAACTTTCTTTCTTTTTCTCTTTCTTTTTTCTTTCTTTCTTTCAATCCTTTCCTTAATCATGCTTTCTTTCTTTCTTTTCATTCCTTTCTTTAATCATTTTTAAATCACATTCATTCATTCCTTTCTTCAGTCAATTTTTATTTCATTCTTTCTTTTTTCTTCATTTTAAATTCTGTTTTCATTTCTTCTTTACTTACTTTCTTGCATCTGTTTTTATTTATTCCTAACATTCATTTACCGTTCTTTCTTTCCTTGTTTCTTTCTTTCTTTTCTTTCTTCTAAATTCCTCTTTCATTCATTCTTTTCTTCAATTAGTTTTAGTTTTCTCTTTCTTTCTTTTATGTTACACACTTCTGTCGTTCGTTTTCCTTCTTTTCTAACAATTTGTTTTACATTCTGCTTATTGTCTTGCTTTTTTCATTCATCATTTTTTTGGTTCTTTTCTTCCTTTCAACCCTGTTTTCTTTCCGTTTTATCCCTTTTCTTTCTGTCTTTCTTACTTTCATTCTTTTAAATTAAACTTTTATTCATTCTTTCATTCAATCAATTTTTCTTCATTCCTATCATTTCTTTCATTTTTTTCTTCTTTCTGTCGTTCTCTCTGTCTTTCTGTCTTTCGGTCAATTTGTATCCATTTTCTTAGTCTGTTGTTGTAATTCTTTGTAAAATTATCTTTTTCATCCTGCCTATTTTCTTTCTTTTATCATTCATTCGTTCAATTTATTATCATTTGTTCCTTTCTTTCTTCTTTTCTTCCTTCCTTCCTCTCTTTATTTCTTCCTTTTTTCTTTCTTTCTTTCTTTCTTTCTTATTTCCTTCTTTCGATCATTTTTTTACTTTTCCTTAGTTTGTTCTTTGTCATTCTGTGAAAAAATTCTCTCTCTCATCCTGCCTTTTTTCTTTCTTTTATCATTCATTCATTCATTCAATTTATTATTTGTTCCTTTCTTCCTTTCTTTCTTTCGTTTTAATTCTTTCTTTCTTTCGTTTTCATTCTTTCTTTCTTTCGTTTTCATTCTTTCTTTCTTTCGTTTTCTTTCTTTCTTTTGTTTTCATTCTTTCTTTTGTTTTCATTCTTTCTTTCTTTCGTTTTCTTTCTTTCTTTCGTTTTCTTTCTTTCGTTTTAATTCTTTCTTTCTTTCGTTTTCATTCTTTCTTTCTTTCGTTTTCTTTCTTTCTTTCTTTTTCGTTTTCTTTCTTTCTTTTTTCTTTTTCCTTCTTTCTTTCGTTTTTATTCTTTCTTTCTTTTTCCTTCTTTCTTTCGTTTTCATTCTTTCTTTCTTTTTCCTTCTTTCTTTCGTTTTTATTCTTTCTTTCTTTTTCTTTCTTCTTTCTTTCTTTCGTTTTCATTCTTTCTTTCGTTTTCATTCTTTCTTTCGTTTTCATTCTTTCTTTCGTTTTTCTTTCTTTCGTTTTCATTCTTTCTTTCTTTCGTTTTCATTCTTTTTTTCGTTTTCATTCTTTCTTTCTTTCGTTTTCTTTCTTTCGTTTTCATTCTTTCTTTCTTTCGTTTTCATTCTTTCTTTCTTTCGTTTTCTTTCTTTCGTTTTCTTTCTTTCTTTCGTTTTCTTTCTTTCTTTTTCTTTCTTTCTTTCTTTCTTTCGTTTTCTTTCTTTCTTTCACAGTTCCATTTGTTAAATCCCCCTTCATTTCTTATTCACATTTTTTCTTCCTCGTTTTTTCTTCCTTCTTATCATACAATTGTCTTTCTTTCTTGATTCCATCTTTCATCTCATTTAAGCACATCACTAAAATTTCTTTTCTAAAATTCTCAATTTGATCTTGCCTTCCTCTTTTTTTATCCTTCATTCATCTTTCTATTTAACATCCCCTTTTTTATTTATCAACCCTTTTTTTCTTTCTTGTAAATGACTTCGGCCTTATAGAAATTATTATAAATTATTCAATTATATTTTCTATTACTAATTTTCTTTTTTGCTCTAGCGTTGAAACTTTCTTTAGTTCTTCTTTCCCCTTTTGACTTTATTCATTTTTGCGTTGCTTTAATCTCAGTTTTTTTTCTAAATTGTATACGTTCCTTTCGTTTCTTTCATTCAAAACTATTTATCTATATTCTCTCCCCTATTTCTCACTCGCTCTCTCTCTCGACACACAGACACACATACACACACATAGCCATTCGCAGAACAGACTGTTTTGCTGTAACACAGCTCTTCAGTGTGGCTAGACTTCCAATTGTTTCCAGCCGAGATCGAAACCCGACCGATTTAGCATCAGTCAGATCATGTACCCCTCAGCTATCGTCGCAGAAAGAAAGGGAAATTTTAACGTTTTTACTATACGAAGGACATCATTGGATAGGAGAGCTCGATTCTAGTTGAAGAACATTGCATTAGCAGCAGTAGCCATTGTTCATAAAATCTATATATTTATAATATTTATGAATGTATATATATATATATATATATATATATATATATATATATATATATATATTCAATAATAATAATATATATATTTAATAATAATAATATATATATATATATAATCTTTTATGAAATATATATATATATATATATATATATATATATATATATATATATATATATATATATATATATAAATGAGAGAAAAAAATAGATGGAGTAAAAATCACAGTTCATACCATTTATTATTTTTTAAAAGTGCTCAATAAAATGTAGAGCAAAATATTATTATAACATTTTCTTATAATAACTTACGATAAGAACATTTTACATCGCTACACAAAAAATTACATGTTTCATTACGAAGATTCTTCAGGCGACGGTAGATAAAATTGTGAAATATCATGTATTCAACTGCGAAAGCTGAATATTATATTTTTATTATTTCAAAGCTCTCAAGAATATTTAATTTCTGCATTAATGATACTTGAGTATCTGATATGCCGTTAAAAAAATACACATTTTCAATATACATACGAACTGATACACGGCACACGTCAAGTCAGTAGTTCACTTCCTGCCAAACAGGCTATAGCATATCTTGTGTAACAGTCTCCAGTGCGGCAATGATTATCTGCTTGCGTTCTTTTAGGTAGGTAAAACGATGGGCAACGTAGACCAGTCCCTTCACATAGACCCATAGAAAAAAATCGCAAAATGTAAGATCAGGTGAATGTGGGGACCCTTTCAGGGTGACAATCGCTTGCTATTACTTGCGACTCACCAAAATATCGTTGGAAGAATCTGGATTTCCAGATTTTCTCTTCCTATGAACGTCGCAATAATGTTTCACGAATCCGTCCGACATTCTCTTCCGATCTTGTTAGTCGTCCAGATCCTTTTGTCCTAAACGGACAGCCTTCCTCTTTGAACTTTTGGACCCATGTTCAAATCTGCATTGGAGATTTCTCACAAGTGCACACTGCACAATCTCTAACACACCCTTCACCTTTTATTTTCCTTTGAATATCATATCTATGCTTGAAACCAAAAAGTAAACATACAACGAAGTTCTTTCTAAATATGTTTTTAAAATTTGAGATACTCTAATTGAAAATTGGTCAAGTTATTACACCAAAAGATTTCCATTTTCCTGAAACACATATATACAGGGTGCGACAGAAAATTGTCGTCTAAATTACGCAAAAAGGAAATTGCACTGACATCTCAATGTAACAGATATATTTACCATAATTTCACAAACATATATTGAAATAGTTAAAAGTAAATTCATTCAAGAAAATCGCCATTGAATTTAACGACGGCCTCTAGACGATTTAGGAATCTTCTGCAACTTCTGTCTCTTTGTTTAAGTTGGTGAATGCTGCCGTAATATTTGCCTTCAATTCATATTTGGGGTTACAAGGAGTTTTGGTGGTCTCTCCCTGAAATGTATCCCGGGCATAATAAACAATGGAATTGTAGTCTGGGAAGTTAGGCCAGGTGTACGGCGTGATTTGGTCGCAGAAATTGTATGACAGCCATGACTGTGTTTTCCTGCATGTGTGGCATGGTGCAGAGCCCTGTTACCAGACATAATGTCTAACAGCAGCCACCCAATTAACCTAGGTAAGCACTATCTCTTCAAGGCATTTGATGCAGGTCTCCGTGTTCAGTCCGGGGCTCTCGGCAACAAATTTAAGAGATTTTCTTATCAAAATGATCAGATCGAGTTTTCCGAGTTGCCGAATCTTCTGCACTGTCCTCAGATTGGCAACTAAACACTCTGAAGTATTCGTATTGGAGCTTCCACTGCTAATGCCAAGCAGTACAGCACGTTGGTTGTTTCCAAATATCTGGCTGGGAGAAGTGCGTCATTGGTGTTGCAATGTACAGATCCTCTTGGTGAATAAGCTTTCATCCTGTTGTTCAAACAATGTCTTCAACATGCAAGTGTTTTTCCTATTGGGGAACATATGATAATCATATGCGGCTAAACCCGGAGAATAGGGAGGCTAATCAACCAGTTCATAACCACTCACGCACAACGGACATTGAAAGGTAAGATTTGTGTGCTGGAGCAAGATGCACATGAAACATTTCTTCTTTCAACACTATTCCTGGGCATTTTTCTTGGTAAACCATTTTATCGGCCTCAAGAAGTTGGCCTGGTACTCATCATCCGTTATGTGACTGTTTTGAAGATAGTCAATAACCACACTGCCTTTCGAACCCCCAAAATCTGTAGATAAAACAATTTAGGCCTTCGTACGAACGAGTGAGAAGAACTGTTCCCGCTGCATGGATTATATATTTGTCGATGGATCAAAGTGATTAGCCTAATACTTACATATGTCTCTGGCTCAAAGTGATTAGCCCAATATGTTTATTTGTTTCTGGCTCAAAGTGGTTAGCCTAATACTTATATTTGTCTCTGGCTCAGTGATTAGCCAAACACTTATATTTGTCTATGGATCAAAGTGATTAGCCCGACACTTATATTTGTTAAGGAAACGTTCCAGGAAAGAGCTGTATCTTCCGCAAACAATGACAGATTTTCCCCTAATCTGTACAGTCTGGTGCGCTTTTGATCCGGTGTCTGAACATTTCGCACCCACCGAGCAGAAACGTTCGTCATGCCAAATTCGTTCAACAGAATATTATAAACTCTTTCACGGCATATTCTAATAGCATTGTCTATTTAATCTATAGTCAATCGCCTGTCATCCATCATCACCACTCCGGTTCTGGCTGTTGCAGGACGTTCGGGCATTGGTTCATATACAAGGCTCTCTAATCCCCTCCTAAATTTAGATGCCAACTATAGCACTGTTCATAAAGCTGGAGCGTCATACCCTAATGTAAGAATAAGGAAGGCTGCTTCTTTTTAGAAAATGAATATTGCTCTCAGTTTGAATGCTAGGTTTTGATGTTGTAAATTTTACCAACTATTAGACTCATAGCTATTAACAATTTTTGAGCATTTAGCTTTAAAATCATCAGAAAAAATGTACAGAAATACTCAATTTCTGCAGACGTTTGCTTACAAACTGTCCCCAAAATTTATTATTTCAAGAATAAATCCGAATAAAGTTGATAGTATTTGTAATAGATACATTGAATATAAATATATTCAAAGGTGAATTCTAATTATGGAATACTACAAGCAAAATATGCATTTTTATTGTATACGATATGTATACAGTGTAGAAACTCTAAAATATTACAAAATGGCGACTCAATTATAAGATCTGTTAGATCATTTGTTAGATCATAACTGATACAAACTAAAATAGATAAAAGTATATATAACATCATAATACTACACTATAAAGAAAAACTGCTACTTTGTATAATATATTGCATCATAATATAGCTAAATTGTTCAGTATAATATCTCTTTGAGGAAAATGAAGGTTTTATTTGAAGGCACATTGATTTAGAAATAATGTATTTGTTTCCATGCATCTTGTGTATATACAATTTAGGAAGCTTCCGAAGATTATACATTTTATAAGATTGTCATAAGGATATCAATGATTACAGCAATTAAACTGCAAACCTAGGATTTTAACCTAAACATAATTTTTAACTGGTTTCCTCATAAAATGGTAATAATTTGAGTCATTATTTATCATGCAAAACCCCAAATTTCAAATTTATTTTCATATCAGTTACTAATGTAGCGGCCATGTCAGTATGAATTTCGTTTGGGTCTAAATATTTTTCTGCACGTACTTGATTACACAGCAATCCCAAATTTTGTTCATTTTCAAGAGATGACGTTATTTATTATAATTGGAGGCTTCTTCGAACTGTTAGATATCAGTTTACTTGAAATTATACAAGGCAGTTATTAGTGTGACGATATGAAATTAAGGCCTGCAAGATTTCACAGCTCAGCCGTCGCTCATTGATCGTCAGCCTATGAACTTTTCAGCATACACTCGTAAATGTTTTTTTTATTAAACAATTTGAAATTCTCTAGCTGGCGATTAAATATCAGGGCGTGTTTTGCTCTCTAATATTCTATGAAAACATCATCTCTCAAGCCAAAATCTAAGCTTATACACATCTATCTATCTATCTATCTATCTATCTATCTATCTAACAATATATATACATATATGTGTGAGTGCGTGTGTGTATGTGTGTGTATTGATATTACATATCTATCTATATATGTTTATGCATATATATCTTTGTATTGATCTATCTGTCAGTAATACATCTATCTGTAATATATATATATATATATATATATATATATATATATATATAGATAGAGAGAGAGAGAGAGAGAGAGAGAGAGATTCCTTCTTCTCAACATATATATTTATCTCTGTACGTTGCTTAACTTACAGCTGAACATTTTCAGATCTTTTCCTTTATCTCTATATCAGTTATTGATTTCCATTTTCTCTTGTCGCCCATTTTCCCCACCGCCGCTCCCAGATGCACAACTCGTAAAATACTGAAACGAAATCATTCAAAAAATTTGGTAAAAAACTGCTACACTTTGCAACACTTTTCATTACGGAACATCAAAAATAACGTTGCTTCATTTTTTTGCCAAGTGCAGCTTATTTTTTATGGGTTTCAACGTTTTCTTTTTTCCTTTTTTGTTAACAAGTTTCCGCCATTTTCCCCAAATATCTGGAAAAAAAGGGACAGACCATCTGAATCATTTTAGACGATATCGAGTAAGGGTACATCTTTTGCCTTACAAATGCAAAAATTCCAATTCAAATTAGTCCATGAAATAACAAGATGGTAAAAAAATACAGAATTTAAAAAAATATCATAACATTTTTTATGTGTCTTCAGGTAAGGGATTATTGAAGTTAAAATGATTATAATAAAGCCTTGATATAGAAGAGAAATTAACAAACAAAAGTGGTAATAAAAAATACTTTGGAAATACAGAAATGTTAAAGGACTAAATTATATGGTTCCCCATATTCCCCAAAAAAACATATTCCCAGTTATATACACCTCCCCATATATATATGGAATCATATTTTAAATGAATAATTATATATATATATATATATATATATATATATATATATATATATATATATATATATATATATATATATATATATATATATTCAATTTTTCTGTTTCATTTACGGAAGCAGCTCAGTTTCATTCTTATCAAATTTGGATATGTCCTACCTCTATGTTTCGGCATAGCTAGCGTTTTGGAAACCAAAACCTCAGTGACCTAGGTTCGAATACCAATTGTTACCTACGTACAAAATCTTTGGAAAATATCATGGGTTAAATGAAAGGGCAGATTGGACTCTATCTCGTTTTGATTATTAACCAGTTTTGTAGAAGGCAATCTCTGAATGCGTTTTTTTCGGAACGAGACATGGGAAAGCGTCATGTCCTTTTGAGTTTGTAAATATCCCTCTCCAAAGAGTCTTCGTTTAAAAATAGACATATAAATATGCCCTTATAAATGATTTGTAAATTTATATATATATATATATATATATATATATATATATATATATATATATATATATATATATATATATATATTCTTCCTTTTCTTATTTTCACACTTTTTTCCTCACACCCTGCTTCCACATTTGCTTTCTTATATCTTTCCTTCTGTTTTTTTTCTTTGTCTCATTTCCTGTGGGACGACTTATTAAATAGGTTGATGTCTGGTCGTTACCCACCTCCCTTACTCTTAAGTATTTTAATAAAAATAGATTCAAGATTATTCCTATCTCTCCCTTCCTTCTCTAAATTCGTCCATATCTTTCGTCCCCTTCCTCTCCCTCTCTCTCTATCACCTTACATCAACTTAAAACTACCCCTCAAATGTGTATAAAAATATTATGTAAATTTATGCCTGCAATTGCGATCTGAGGAACCAGGAAAAAACACCTTCTATATACTAAGTGGAAAGCGCTCAATATAAGTGATAGAGGTAACCTATTCAGTTGTATGAATATGATTTTGTGACCCTGGGTTCCACCGTTTTGAGATCGTCAGACAAACTTGTTTTTTTTTTTTTAAATTGGATCTATTTATGCTTGTTTGAATGTGTTTTGCAGTGGTAGAAGGAATTTGCTTTTGTAATTGTTTGTGATGACACTCTCATACACGTATACACACATACATACAGGTGTATGCATTTTATTTCATACAAACTCATCCATATAAACAATCCGTGGCTAGGCATAGATACATATCCATGCATTCGGGCATACATACATACGCAGTTGTAATTCTATTTTGGTGTCAGGACCGCAACTTTTATTGTATGTAGCGATGCTCCTTTCAACAACGAGCGGGTAGTGTTGTTCTTGACGCTTTTCAGATGTACCGCCTGGAATGCCAGAAAAAACTTACACTTCCTCACAGAAACATACACACATGTTGAAGCTCACATACATTCCTATTGACCAGGTTATTTACCACCACTTTCGTTAAGATGAGTTCTGTTTGTGGGCATGGTGAAGATGGTGTTTGTATTTTCAACTCTAACTGCTTGTGTACTATTGCCGATTGGGATTATGCTGATAATGAATATAAGTAAGATAATAATAATTGTTATTATGTTAATTATAATTATTGATAAGTTAACGGTAAATTTTAGCCTTAATGAATAGAGCACTAAGTACAATTTCAAAGAACCTACACTAAAATAACTATTATTAACATATTAAGAATCATTTTAGCAGATACAATTTATTTTAGCAAGTGCTCTGTTTTTTGGGGTTTTGGGTTTTTTTTTTTTGGTTTAAATAAAGGGTATTAATTATATTTACCCGCTTGAATTGTTCGAACATTTTCCTAGAAAATATGCATTCTTTGACAGGAATCGAACCTGTGCCCAAACCATCAATTGATCTGACGTGCTGTATCACTCAGCTACAGAGAAGCGTCTGGTTAGCAAAGTCAAAATTACTGTTTATAAACATATCGTCGATGATCTTTCCCAAACGATCATATCTTCTCACGAAACGTACCTTAACGTAAACATTGACAACATTATGAATTGGATTATGTTTGACAATTATTCAATATATTTTCTGTTTACAGGTTGTTTTAATAGATAGAATTCATTTATGCAAATTTTCTGGGCTTTTTTTTTTGTTTTTTTTTTAAATAAATAGTATTAATTTCGTTTGGTTATATATATATATATATATATATATATATATATATATATATATATATATATATATATAAAGAATCCAGAGTATAATAAAAGGCACGGTGAAGTAATGGATGGGGCTTCGGATTGATTAATCGGAGCGTTCGAATTCCAGTCAAGTTCATTATATTCATTTAAGTCTCCCCAGCTATGCGTAAATAGGAGGAGAGACTGTGTCCTATATCCTTGGCAAGGGAACGCTCTCTGAAAACAGAAGTCGCACAGTACATACGTCAAAGTGTCAGAGAAATAAATGTCTGAGTTTATGACTGACAGCATTTCGACAATATCGGGCCATCTCAAGAAAATTGACAAGAAGAACCTAAATAAATGGTTCCCACGTGACCTCATGTCACAATATATTGACGTTTAAAAGTCTGTTCAATGCTGTATTTTCGAAATTCGAATGGTGCAATTCTTGATGGTATAATGCCTTATGGTGAAAAATATATTATTTATGGCAATCTTAAGCGATCGGCTCAATGACTTGATCATGCTAAAGATCCCAAACATTTTCGAAAACCAAGATTGCACCAAAAGAAGTTTATAGTAACTGGCTGCTGGTCCGCCACCGGTGTTATCCATTACAACCTTCTGGAATTTAACCAAAGTTTACTGCCAACACCTGGACGAAATGCAGATTAAATTAAGTAATGTGCGACCAGTACTGGTTTATCGACGAGGACCTCTTCTGCTTTGTGACAATGCAACTAGAGAAAATCTCTTACTTGGCCTAAGAAACTTTCCTATCTCCAATATATTCCCTCAATCCACTAACGACTCCTTTTTCATGGATCTTTTCAATTTGCTAAACCAAAGGCATTCCATTGCAAAGAAGATTTATTGTTGTTCAAATTTTTAGATATTTATTGTAAAGTCAGAAATAATCTTGTAAGTCGGTTGCAGAAATGTATAGATCTTCTGTCTTTCCTGATTTACATAATATTTAACAGCATTAATTCTGGAACGAAGTTGATTCAAAAATGGACATAATTTTCATAACAACTTAATATTAGATAAAAATTTTTAGTACTTAGCATTTTCTTAATTAGCTGTCTTTCGAAAAGAATTCAAACAAAAAGAGCGCTTTTACTATTCACATCTGCCGAATAAATCGTCTAGAATTCATTTTTCTGCTAGATTCCCTTTGATAGAATCCTTGTATTCCAAGTGAAAATCGCTAACCAAGTAATACCATACAATTTTCTTTATAGAATTTCTATAGCGCATTCTTGAATGACACTTTTTTCTTAGAAATTTGAAAGATATTTTTTTCAAAACAATTAATTATTTGGAAACAATTTCCTTAATTAGATTTAATTTTTCAGAAAGAAATGTTTAATAATTTTTTCGCTAAGGTGTCATAATTCGTTATTAATTACTTTTAACTGTAAATCAGCTTCAGACCATTTTTGATTATCGTCTTTCATCGTACGGCACATGTGGATGTCTTTTCGACCTGGCCCACTTCCGAAAACGCGACCAAATTAGAAATCATTACACATTCCGTCGGATAACACCGGACCGCATTTAATTTGTCAACGACACGTACTTAACTGGAATGAAATTTGAAGTTTCTGTGTTCCTCGGTGCAAAACAGAGAATAGGCATTCAAATATATCCAACAATACTTGACCAGTCAGCGTCAAGCCGATATAATTATGTCGGCTTTATCGTTATTGCCATGGCAAATATTAAGACGAGTTCTATTCTTTAGTACCAATACGTCATAGCACTACAGACAGGACCCTTCTAGTTAGGGCCAAAGTGTTGAATTGTCCCCTGTCGAATCTGAAACATTTTTTCCCAAGAGGCGCTGATTGTGGGAAACAATCCAGTGTAGATGCTTTCGAAAATTCAACTTATTCAAAACTAGGAACAGCCATTTTCCATCCGTTATATTATTGTAATCTTGACTTCTTAATTTC